TTGAATTGTGATTTTTTCCCCCCCCCCCAATTAAGAGAGGGGGGTCCCCGTTTTGGTCCGGACGTTTTTTATTTGGGGCCAAAGGTTTTTTTTCCGGGCGCAGGGCCTTGTTCTTTTCCTGGGCGCCTGGGTGGAGCCCTTTGGTGATCTCCTTCGGGGGAAAGGTTTCCATGGGGTTGGTTTTTCTCAAGGACGACGCACCCATTTCCCCTTTTTGGTCTTAATTTTAAACTTGAAAAATCCCCAAAGGCGGGGGGGGGGGGGGGGGGGCGTACTCATGTTTCGCATGCCTTAGCAGTTAGACCATTGACCACGAGTCCTCGAGAAGACGGAGCATTGTTCCCACAGGACCGATCACCGATGGCCAGTCGTTCCTTTTTATTTTCCCAAAGGTGGGGGGGGGGGGTGATGCCCTCATGGGTTGAAGTTCCGATCACAACAACCGATGCCATTTTGTTGTGTTTGCCGTAGGCAGAGAAGGGCGGCTGGAGGAAAGAGCGGTGTTGGTTGACTTCGGATGCCCGGTTGACGTGGGGTGGACGAAAGTGGCCTGAAGGCACGGCAGGGTTTAACCTGTCGCAAGCTAAATGGCGCAAGACCACGCAATTGCAAATGGTGGGTTGCCTTCGCGGTACGGTAGTGGATCATCCATCAATTTCGGGACGACGGGATGTGTACTCTTTGGTGGGTCCCTGTTTCTCAGCAGGAACAGACCTGAACATGGGATAACCTCAAAAGGATCAGACAAAGAGTACCCCGCATGTTCAGGTACTACGGAGGAAACGCTTCCACAACAACAGTTACGCCCCACCTCCAGCTTGAGAACTTGCAGATCTTGTTCCAACTTCGCGATCTTGACTCGCATGATCTTCTCTTCCTCGAAGGCCATGCCCATGCAGTTGGTCAGCATGTCCCACTCCCTCTCGTAGTTCTCCCCCCACCCAGCTTGACAAACATTGTGGAACAACAGAATCAGCCATAGGAACACGAGCCGGGACAAATACCGTGAGACAATTTTTCTGTGTGATTTTTCAAGTCTGCCCCGGGTGTCCCAATTTATTCTGAGTGTTTGCACCTAAGCTCGTTTTGAAACGCCAAAAACGAGCATGGAGGGGAATACGTACTGTACTGTAAATAATCTACACCGGCCTTTCGTGCCGGGTTGTTAGGTAGTTGATAGGACAATATTTCTCCTTTTACCTTCGACAGAACATGAGACTATTTCACAGCCCATATGTAGAGAGCGCCAAGCAATCTACACCATGTTCCCAACCTGCCATATCTTGGACAGTGAGGTTTTCGATGTGCCGTTCCACCAGTGGAAGCCGCAACCTGGCCTCCTGTGGAAACACGCACGATAAACAACAGCGCCCCAACCATCCGGTGTTCAAGAAACTACTGTAAAGATAAAGATATATCAGATATGTACTCCCAAAACCCAAAAACAATTAATTACTCCCCAAACCCAAGAACAAAACAATTAATTAACTAAATCAAACACCCCATATATAGAAATATGACACAATATATCCATCTCTAAATATCTACAGAAAAAAGTCTAAGATAGGTTAGCAATGAATCCATAGCGTCAGCGAAGGGCTATCTGTGTGTCTTATTGCGGGCCCAACACTGAAAATTAAAAAATACCCAAAACAAAACATTTGTGTTATGCAGTGACAAATATTCATAGACTACTATTCCTCCTGTGGGATCTGACGAATCACGAAGCGTTTCCACGCAAACGCAATCCATCCGGGCATAGTAGTCTTCAGAGAAAGATCTCGACCACTTTCAACCGTAGTGTAGTCCGGAAGACTGCGTGTGTGCCAGCCCTTGTAAAATAGTGAAAAATAAATGCCCGCCCGGCAAGGGGGGGGGGGGGGGGGGCAAATTGCTCGAAGAGGGCGGACTATGCTGTAGATTGTGACCTCGCCTTTCTGAATTCTGTAAGATCCTTGATCCGGCGTTTAGCGTTCCTGATCGACTTTTTGACCGCCGCGATGTCGTCCGTGCAGAGGTCCAAATCGCCCTTGATCTGTCAAGGAAGGATCCACCGAGAAATAGAGTGTGAGAGAGGGGACGCGTTTACACGTAAGGTTCCATATAACATCAACAACGTCCACCTTTTAGGAGTAGAATACTGTAGACACTTCAGGGAGGTGGCGTTGAGCTTCTGGGCAAGAAAGAGGACGTTGGATCTTCTCTGTGATTTTGATCCACTGGGGGGGGCAGCTCTCTTGATGCCGCTCTGCTATACGCACTCAAACCAGATAGCTGAAGCGATACATCCTTTGCATATGTATGTCTCAAGGGCGCGGATGACAGCACACACAGGCCACCGGATGGATTACGAAGTATCTGGATAACGAAGATCCGATCAGATCTTACAGCAGACTAGACTATTAATAGATCATCAATAGACTAGTCCAACAACCGCATCTTCGGGTATCTTTCACGAAAGCATGCTGCGTCCACATGAGCAACAACAGCCGTGCACGTCGTGGTTTCGTGGTGTGGTGTGACAGATTTCAGTAGCATCTACTGCTCTCCCAGATACATACCGGTCAACAACGATATCTCGCTACTTTACTGTACTGCCGTGCCAAGTGTATCTGGTATGCTACCTACACAGAGCGAGCAGCCGCCAGCACTTTGACACCTGTCACGGCGGTGGCTGCTGCGCTGCTTCTTTCTGCTGCCTTGATTCATGTGAAGTATCCTCTCAAACCAAATACTTCCTGGTAGTTATGCATACACTGCGACGTGATTTGACATTGTAGCAGTAGATACTGCATCACGCTTCTACATCTGTAGTACCTGTAGGATCGCTGCTGGTGCGAACTTGCGTATAGGATAATTTATATCCCAAACATTGAGCCCCTCAACTCATGGGAGCTGTGGTATAATGGTTAGAATTGATCCCTGTCACGGATCAGATCCGGGTTCAATTCCCGGCAGCTTCGTTTTTTTCCCTTCTGTTTTTTCATTTTTTTTTTGCCCCATCAATGTACAGAATAAACGTGGTCCTTGCGCACAGACAGGAAAACAACGCAACACTATGTCCTGTCGTGGGCCCGGTTTAGCGGTTCCCTGTTTAGCGGGATGCCCTGAATAGCGGTTATAAAATCTCGTGACACGGCTGCACCCCGGTTTAGCTGTTTAGGTCGTGCCCTCAATAATAGTGGTTATTGGACATGTTTGCAGCCACCAATAGCGGTTATCGGTTCAAATTTTGCGGGGACCTGCATGTAGTGCGCGCTTCGCTTGCACATACTCACAGCACAGCGACTTGGTCAGCCTGTTAGCTGGTCGATGCTCATAATAAAAAGGACACAGCGAGACACACACACATACACCAAACGACGCAGGGCCAGAGAAGAATCGCCGAAAAATAGCTGAAGAAACGACGATGAGAGAGAGTGATGGTGGCGAAAACAAGGAGGATGATGGTGAAAACACTCCAAAACGAACTAGAGTGCAAGGTGGCAGTTTTCCTCTGTTGCTACCTACCGTGTCTGTCCTTACTCCGGGGAATAGCTTTTACCTGCCCCATGCCGCCCCCTCACGAGGTCCCAGTTAATGACATATAGAAGTGTTTTTTTGTGTTTTCAACCGCGCTGAGACTGACGACGACGTCTTTTCATTGGTCAGCCGGTTAGCGCGGTCGATCCTAATATTAAAGACATACACCATGCGGCGCGTGGATGGAGAACTGTGCAAGCTTCTAGATGCGGCACGAGTCCAAGCGGCGCGCATGATTGTAAAGGTTGCTGTGGTGGCCGCATACACGGCATGTGTGTGGGGAGGTGGAGGTTCCGGATGAGAACGAGATGCAACCGGCGTACAACCAAGAAGGCGCAGAGTTCCCCTCACCTATCAAATCCGCCCAAGCGCCAAGAGGTGTGAGGTGGCTTTCTAGCACCAGGCGCGCGGAAAGAAACAACTCGCGCTGCAGCTACACGACAACAACAGCCCCACACGCGGCTCTACTTTGGCTAGAATCTCGAGGTTTTGAAGCTCCTTGACCAGAAGGTAGCGCACGTAGAAATAGTGCGCACAGGAAGAGGTCGCCGAAGCTTTGCGTAAAAGGGCGCGAATGACGAGGTTGTTGAAAGTTGTCCGGTATGTACATGGAGGGGGGCCTAACCCCTCCGACGACGACACGACGACCTAGAGCTGGGGCTAGATACCACCGCACAATTTGACGGAGCGAAGGGCAGGGGGGTGATGTTGCCGCCACCACACTCGGAGGTATCATCGGATTTTGGCCAGCGTGGAGAGCGCGGAGTCGTGTGGCGTAAGCGAAGCAGCACACTATTGCGCAAGGCAAAAATGGCGTTCCTCGCAGCGCACGCCGCTCCTCCAGCGCGCAAGGCAGATACCAGAGAGATTGCTTTGGGTGAAGAATGATCAATACGCGACACATGGCAGAAAATGAGATGCTCAAGCACGTGGTTGATTGCCATTGCGTTGTCACAAGTTTGTCTCATCACCTACTTACTTCACTTCGTTAGAGACGCGAACGATTTTCCAGTCTTGATGAGGGGCATACAGTCCAGAAGGGAGAATAATCTTCGCGCTTTGGCGAATTAAAACGCATCATTAATTAATTAATGTGATTGCGGCGTTGTCCTTCATTGGCTCGTTACTTCTTCATCCGCACCTTCGTATGACTGCTGCAATGATACGCATGGCCCTATCAATATCAGCTCTCCACGCTGTTATTGTAGGGCAAAAATGGGCTTTTTCCCGGTTTAGCGGTTCATGACCGCTATTTATTATTAAGCCTCCTGGTTTAGAGGACAATGACCGCTAAAGTGGTTTAGCGGCGATGCCCTGAATAGCGGTTATAAAAATGCGTGACACTATGGACCGCTAAACCGGGCCCACGACTGTACAATAACACTTCACGATGTGCGTGCATGCGTTATTTCCTTTAGTTTAACTTATTATTTGGCGATGCCTTACTCTTACACTTCCAGAGGGTGGAAGGGGCCGATGTAGTCGGCGGAAAAAAAGGAAATAACGAAATAACTGCACGCATTTGTGGCAAAGCTACAACCTGATCACTTTTTCGTATGCAAGCAAGGGCAGATGTAGGTAGTCTCATGTTACCACAACAGCGGTATGCATACGTCAGGTAGCTTACGCATTCACTTGTAATGTCTAACCTTCATTTCCAGTTGAGGGTTTGACCTAAGAGCACATAATAGATAGTCAAACTAAAGTCTAATGGGCGGTAGACGCCCCCGCCCTGCTCGACCTTGTTGCCGAAAACTGCGCCTCGTCCCCCCTTGGCGTCAGTTGCACGACGACGTCAAGATCACCGTATAGACTAGGGTTCGCATGTTGTCAGCCCTAGTTTTACCATTAAAGCGGAGACCAAATAACCCTCCACACATGTTGTATACACTCACTTCTTGTATGTCCCGCTGTGCGCCCGCCAACTCCAGAGCGGCCTTCTCCACCCTCCACTGCTCCTTCAGCTCGTCCAAGGCGAGGTTCATTTTGTACCTTGACGAAAACAGATTAACAGACACAAGAAAATTGTGCTACTGACCAACGCTAGGCGGCTGCACAGCGGACGTTTGCGGGTGCTTTCTGTTCAGGATGCGTGCTTGATTCTCGCCACATGTACTTTGATTGTAACAGACATCAACAACGTCATTCCGCCATCGAATCTTGACTACCGTGTGTTCTTTACGGAAACATCTGACAGCGATTAAATAACTTCACACCCCACGGAGTTAACGACAACAACGACAACAACAACAACAACAGCACCAACAACAACTGAGAGCCGACACCTTGCTTGTTTGGCAACTTCGGACGATAGGACACACAACCGTTGATCGCGCTCATGATTACTCATCACTGGGTCGTATCATTGATTGGCTACGGTTCCAAATGCGTGTGTCAGAACCCGCGTGTACCTTCCCGGAAAACGTTGATGAAGAGCACTTGAAACCGGTCGTGGTAATAGTAGCTAACGGTATAGGCCGGAGTCCCAAGGGAAGTGATACTATGGGCGAAAAGCGGGTTGGACATGCACAGCTTGTAAATATTGGTCGTACTACTGTACGTAGGTGTTCACTCACGATCTCCAAGACCGCAGGATGATCCTCGTCGCAAACGTCCGCCGCCAGCTAGCCTCCACGTTGAGGGCTCGATACGACTGGCGGCTTTGCCACTGCCGGAACAGGCACTGTTTGGCAACAGGTGGGATTTATTGTTTTCATGTGACCGTGTCCGCAACAAGTGCAAGAAAGATGTTTGGGTGCGGTAGCCCGTCAGAGGCCGAAAGAGAAAGAAGGTTGACTCAAGACCTTGGTTGATTAGAGAGTGGCATGCACGGCGGAGGCACGAGGGGCCCCGCACGTATCATGTCCATCATACACAAACATCATTCACGTAACCCCCGGAGGCCCCGTAGATCAGTATCCTGCTGAGCACCCCAAACAGCCCCCCTGCTCTGTACGAGATACGATCTACGACACCTACCTCACGAACTGCCAGGTAAAACGGCAGATAAATCATCCACCATTCCACTTCAAACAACTCTGTCAACATAACAATGCCGTACAAAGCTTTCAAAGTCTTGTGATATCAAATTACTATCCCCTAAAAGGTCTGTCAATATACAATTCACCCTCTTGAGAAAAATGCTTTACCAAATTCTCAAGCAGTCAAAACACAAACAGTCACCCTTGGAAGAATACCCAGCAAAGATACACATTACATCAGAATCACGTCAGAAAGGGGACGGGTAACTCTGGGAAAACGTGTCCAACGTCCTGACTTAACTCAGAACAAATTCCTCAGATAAGCATTCATGTTTCAACTCATTGACCAGCTCAAATAACCTTCGGAAGCACAAAGGCTTCAACCATGACTTACGAGAACATGCCAAATCCTTCCTCCAATACCCAATACCTTGACAAATATACCAGTCCAACAGCCCCCCTGCTGTAACATCCATCCCAAACACGAAGGAACCAAACAAACAAATCAAAAACAAATAAAACACCTGCTACTAGTATCATGGAACAATACCAATATCCCCCCCCCATGATTCTTGTGCAGAACTACCTCATCCATCGTACGTACCAGAGAGCAGAAACATAACAACAGCAAATCAACGGCCAGTATAAATTCACAAATAAAACACATCACGTAGGAAAAGGCCCCCCCGCTGAAAACACAAAGAACAAAATCAACGAATATTCATCACAAAGTCGCGATGAGCGCAAAAAGCCTCCTTGGGGAGCGGTTTAGTCAGGAAATCCGCGTGTTGTAGGTCCGAACGTACGTGGACTACCTTGAACTCGCCCCGCGCGACACGCTCACGGATGAAATGGTGGCGAATGTCGATGTGCTTCGAGTTAGGGGTCGTAGCCGGGTTACTTGCCAAGTGAATAGCGCCTACATTGTCCTCCCACACCGGAGTGCACCCCACATCACGGTCCGGAAAGATAAAACTCCAGAGATACCGCAGAAAAATAGCCTCCTTCAGCCCCTCAGACATCGCCACGTACTCCGCTTCCGTCGAAGACAAGGTGACGCTCTTCTGCGTCCTACACAGATACATCACACACGCACCAGCGAACATCACTAGTGCCCCAGAAACAGATCGCCGGCCGGTTGCCTTGCTGGCGAAGTCCGCATCGACAAAAAGTTCCATGTGGTCTCCTCCTACCATGCCCCTCTGAAAAGTAATACCGTACTCGCTCGTGGATCTAACATACATCAAGACATGCAAAGCCGCTTGCCAGTGTAATCGCTTCGGCGCGTGCGAATACCTCGCAACGGCACGTACCGCGTTGAGAATATCCGGGCGAGTCTGATTCGCCAGCCACATCAAGTGTCCCACCAGCGACCGGAAAGGCGCGTCAACATCGGGCTCGTCGGCGTCATACTGCTCAAGCTTCAAACCAACGACCATGGGTGTCTCTTTGTTCGTCGTCACACCGAACTTGGCGACGATCTTCTCCGCTACAGCCTGCTGCGAAATAGTCACTGTCCCCAACGCCGTGTCACGAGAAAACCGGCAACCCGCATACCAGCGCAGTTCCCCAAGGTTGGAGATGGGCACATACCGGTTGAGATCTACACCAAACTGGTCGCACCTGCTCTTACGTCCGATAGAAAAGATTCGTCCACGTGGATCACAACCACCATGGTGACTACACCGCTCTCGATCAGACGCATCACACACGCATCGGCAGCACAAGACTCGAAACCAAGACGCTTCATGCCACGCATCAAGTGGTGATGCCATGTGCGGGACGCCTGCTTCAGACCGTAAAGACTCCGTCTCAACCGAACGACCTTACCGGAAAGCGCGCCGCACCCAGGGGGTAGACGAATGTACACAACCTCATCCAGTTCCGATTGGACAAAGGCTTGCTCGGCATCGAAATGGCACGTATCCCAACCCAGCACACAGGCAATAGCGGCTAACAAACGAATGCTCGTGATGGAAGGGCAAGGGGAGAAAGTTTCAAAGAAGTCAACACCCTCACGCTGCGCAAACCCACGGGCCACCAACCTAGCTTTAGCACGCACACGCTGCCCAAACTCGTCTACCTTCCATGAATACACCCACTTGGAGGAGATGACGTTCGTTCCTCGTTGCTATTCCGCCCCGACCTCCTGAAAGGTGCCCGCTGCGTTCAGCCCGCAAAACTCCTTGTGTTCGGCGTGGGTCCAGATGTGGTGGTGTGGCCCCGCGTGCGCCGCCGCGTATGTCTCAGGTGTCTCCTGGTCGTACGCCGGCCCTGTCGGTAAGTCTGGCTCAGAAACGCCCGGCGAAGGAAGCTCGGCAATGGACCGTTTGATCTCGTCCTCCATGGCTAGAAGCGCGAAAATCCCCGGCACCCGCCCATCTCGCTTCGCGCGCGACCTCGTCACGGCGGGCGTCGCTACAAACCCCTGCTGCCCCTGCCGACGCACGCCGGTACCACCCTCATGCTCCACCTCCGTCCACGCCCCGTCTGGTGCCAGCGGCGCCGCCGCCGGAGCTGCTGCCGATGCCGCCGCTCCTGCCGCCACCGCGGGGACCCCGGCCGCCCCCCCCGCCGCCGCCGCGGGGAAAACACTGCCGCCAGAGGTCGCCGCCGTCGCCGCCGGAGCTGCTGCCGATGCCGCCGCTCCTGCCGCCACCGCGGGGACCCCGGCCGTTCCCCCCGCCGCCGCCGCGGGGAAAACACTGCCGCCAGAGGTCGCCGCCGTCGCCGCCGGAGCTGCTGCCGATGCCGCCGCTCCTGCCGCCACCGCGGGGACCCCGACCATCCCTCCTACCGACCCCCAAGAACGTCCATCCCCCCGAAAGCCCTCGCTGCTGAATCCAAAAGTACAGTGTTCGGAGTACGTGGGCACCCCAGCCTGAGTGAGAATTTTGTGCGTCGCCGAGGAATGATCGTGGCCTGAGTTCAGGTAGAAGCACCGCTCCCCCTTGCTGTGCATCTTTGACGGGCGGTGACGGTGGCGGAAGCCGGGCATCATGAACGGTAGCGCCACCCTGATCCTCCTCTTGCCGTACAGCTTAACCTCCGGGCACCTCTTGTCTTCCTTGCTCACCTCAGCAGCGATGTTCAAAGAATCGTTCATCCACGCGAAAGCCTCGGGCCAGATGGCCCGGAAGGACAGCGCCTTGGTCGGGTACAGAACTCCGGGGAAAAGCTTCGGGTATTCCAGAAACCCAGCCTTGCCTCCCTCCATCACTAGCGCGATCCTCCGCTCCACACGACCGTTGCTCTTGGGCCCGTCGACCGCCGTAAGCTCCCGCGTAACGTTCAGTTCCGCCAGCAGTCCCCGAAACTCCTCGTTGACCCACTCGGTACCGTTGTCGGTCAAAACACAGCCCAGCTCCCCGTGAGTAGCCAAGAGAGCCTTGATGGAGGCGTACCACGCACGGAACGCGCCCACGACGTTTGCACCACTCTTCTCCCGCAAGAAGAAAGTCCACCCGGAGTTGGTGTGGTGGTCCAAGATCTGCATCAAGTACTTGGCACCACCGCTGGATGAGCCGAAAGGACCGGCTAGGTCCATGGCGACACGTTCAAGAGGCCGCGTCGTCCGGCGGGAAGGGGAGATGACCTTGGGGACCGAGCGCTGGATCGCCTTCGACTCCGCACATCCATCACAGTACTCCGGAGTGCCGGTCACCTTGATGCCCATCTGCTTAGCGGTCTCGTACACGGTCTTGGAGTTGGCATGGCCGAGGGAGCAGTGAAGATCGTTGTAGTTGATACTAGACTGCAGGCCAGGCCGTAGCATCGCCGCGACCATTGCGGGGGATTTGACGTGGTGGGGTAGGGGATCGACGCGAGTCCCCTGGATGTAATTCCCGTGCGGGAATTTGGTGAATTGCACTAGCCCCCCCCAAATCGATGCCCCATGCCGGTTGAGCTTGATCTCATGACGTTCCTGGATCTGGTTCAGCGACAGAACATCTAGCGCCAAGTCCGGTACCACGCCAACATTCTTCAGCGTAACACGCACATCCTCATGGCAATGGAAAATCATATCCAAATCACCGAAGAACTCTACCGGGATAAGCTTGCCGTCGCCAAGCATGAGTAGCCGCTCCTCCGGGCGCGGTGGACGCCTGTTGTACACCTTTTCCCCGGAAGGGACCACGTGGACCACAGCGCCAGAGTCTCCGAGGAAGAAGACTGTGGAACCCGGGCGATGCGGGAAAAGGTTGGATATTTCGCGCGCAGGGGGGGATGAGGATACGGAACAGACAAGGTGCATCGCGAAGAGACCGCCACCAAAAGTAACCTCGCCGTCCCCGCCGAGCGCCTCAGGAACCGCTCCCGCCGAGTCACTTGTCGCCATGGCACCGTTGGGCTGCAATCCGTCATCGCCACCGTCCACGCCACCGCCGCCGTGGAAAATGTCGACAAACTCAAAGAAGGGCTCGGCCGGTGTCACAACCTGCTGCTGTACGATCGCCCCATTGCCAACGCCGCCCCCACTACCGCTGCCGTCACCGCCGCTGCCGCCACCACCACCGCCACCGGCCATCATGGCGTCACTGTAGTACATCCCATCGGCCGCCGGGATATCACGATATGGGGCGGCCGATGCATCCGTCGTGGCGTACGCGTACTCCGGATCGACAGCACCAGCAGAAGTGACGACGTTGAGGTGAGGGTGCCGGTTACTTTTGGCACAATTGCGCCACATGTGGCCGTACTGGCCGCAGGCGCCGCACGTACCTTCGAACCTGCGGGGGGCGGCGCAATGCCCGGCGTGGTGGCCGTGTCTCCCACACCGCATGCATCGGTGCACTGTACCCATCGGCGCGCCGGACGGAGGTGGTGACTCCGGCTGGTAGTACACGGCGTTACTACCGCAATCGTAGATCCCGCCAACCCCGATCATAGCGGACTGCTGCTGCTGCCGCTGCTGCTGTTGCGGCTGCCGGTACGGCTGCATCTGCGACTGCTGTTGGTACGGCTGTTGCTGTCGCATCTGCTGCTGCGGTTGTTGGTACGGTTGTTGCATTTGCCGCTGCGGCTGCTGCGGCTGTCGGTACTGTTGCATCTGCGACTGCGGCTGTTGCTGTTGCCGCGGTTGCTGCTGCTGTTGGGCACCAGCTCCCCCAGAGGACCAATATTGCCCGCGGCCGTCGCCGCTGTTACCATTCCGCCGTTGGCCTCCGCCCCCCCCGCCCCCCCCGTTGCCGCCGTGCCCAAAACCACGGCCAACAACAAGAGCATGCGGGTTGGCGGAAACCGCCGGTGTCACAGCCGCCGACCTCATCTCGCTAGCCTTGAGCGTAGCATACCGACCACGCACGACGTCCTGCAGCTCAGCGCGGGTTAGATCACGCTTGGAAAGGCTACTGCGCTTCTCGACATCATAGCGTGCAGGGAGTTGACGGATGAGAATCTGCACAACCTCCAGCTCACTCTTGACAATGCCCACAGCCCGCAACTTGGTCTCAAGCTGTGCAACACGCGAGAAGAATACCTTTGGGTCTTCATCATCCTTCATTGTGATGTTGTCAAGCTCGGCGACAAGAAGCTGACAATCGGCTGGGTGGTTCGGCAAAAACCAATCCTCCATCATCCTCCACGCATCGGCCACGGAATGGCAAGAGTACAGGGTGTTCTCAAATGGGGCCCCCACCGCTGCCTCCAAGATAAAACCCCACATCCTCTTGTGCTCACCAACAAGCTTTGGGCCGAACTGGCGAGTCAGGTATCCGACGTCTTGACAACTCACAACGGGAACCTCAGCACTGCCGGCGATGGTATGAAGGAGATCATGGTTGTCCGCGTAGACCCGGAACCGTCTCCGCCAACTAAGAAAAGCGTCGGCGGTGCAATTTGACGGGAGTCTAGGCACAGGAGTTCTGACAATGGTACCTCCCAAAGGCGAACCCGGCACACCAGTACCACCACCATGACTCACCCCACCTGGCCCCGTCGGCCCCACCGATGCAGATGGAGCCCCTCCAGTAGCAACTAGACCGTCGCCTCCTGGGCTGCCGGCAGGTGCACCCGCCGACTGCTGCTGTGCTGCCCGAACCTCCGCCGTCTCAGCCTTAGCAGCCTCTATAGCTCGCAGCGCCTCATCCAGCCTCGCGCGCACAGCTGCAATATCCTCCGTATCCCCACCATCCGACATATCTAACTAAAACCCTAAACCTGCTGTCCCAGCCTCGAAGTGCTGTCCCAGCTATAAAACCTGCTGTCCCGGTCCCCGCAATGGCCACCGCACCAGCTACACAATGCTGCTGTCCTCGCCCCCGTTGGCCGCGATCCCAGCTTGAAGAAATATAGAAAAAAAGTGTCGACCGCTCCGTTGACCCGGCTCACACAGCTCAGACGCCAATACCCACTACCAACACCAGGCCATACAATATATTGTGTTTGGGTGCGGTAGCCCGTCAGAGGCCGAAAGAGAAAGAAGGTTGACTCAAGACCTTGGTTGATTAGAGAGTGGCATGCACGGCGGAGGCACGAGGGGCCCCGCACGTATCATGTCCATCATACACAAACATCATTCACGTAACCCCCGGAGGCCCCGTAGATCAGTATCCTGCTGAGCACCCCAAACAAAAGAAGCCACTGTTGGAGTATCGTAGCGACAAGTTCCCACCGCACTTCAAGCACTCTGAGTGGTGCGTTTGGAAATCGAGTTTGATCTATCCGAGAAGAAGGTGTTTCTTGTCCAGCAGGATTCACTCCTATCCCAACCCGTAATTCACACATCGTCCGTGAGCACTAACATTGGTATACATCGAAGAATATCGTACTGTTGCCGCTCCAGAAACATCGTCAATTGTTTCGCCCATGTAGCACGCCCATGAAACGCGCCCATGAAACACGCGAGAATTCCAAATTAAAAGGACCCGATGTTGTTACCGCACTGCCCACGGTGACAAGACAATGGGTGGATCACGAATTTTACCTTCTAGCAAGAAGCTTCGGGTGGATATGGAAAAGATTTCGGTGGCCATCGTGTTCGTCGATACCCCGCATCAACCCATGTACCTCTGACCCCGTAGCCCAGTGCACAATCCTAGCAAATTTGTGTCGACCCATGTCTCCCCATCATAGGCACCAACTAGTGTGCACGCTCGCCACATGTACAAGGCGATCATGGGGCCACTTGCTCTTCTAGTCCCACTATTGCATGGCACCCTCTCTCTCTCCTGGTCGGTACCTGAATCTTCGTCGCCGAGAACCCCTTGTGCCGCACGAGCCATGCCTCATACCGACGCCTAGCATGCCTTCGGAACACCGCCCCTCGATAAGCAACCTGAGAACGACCGGGAGCGTCACGAGGGAAGTTTCAAGGCACTCGTGAACGCCAGCAAAAAACATTTCCCGCATTGTTGACATCATTGATGTTTAGGTTTCGGCCCCGAAGCGGTATCGCTGTTCGCCACTTCGTTGACCTAGTCGAAGCATGCATGCACGCATTTTGGAGTTGGTTTGTCTCGCATACCAGTAAACGAGTATCATAGCCTGTCAATGTTCCCTTGTATCCCAACCCAAAGTAAGCCTCATGTAGAGTCACTGGTGGGGTGTGTGAAATGCGTTTATCTATGTGACGCCCGAAGGAGCACAGCAGAAGTGGTCGACCGACCTCATTTCCTAGACACCATGGCGTGTCGGCCGCTAAAAGGAAGGCGGCCTGGAATGATCGCAGTTAGCCGAAACTGGGGCAGACGGCAGACGGTCTCCGACTCTCAAGAACACAGTTGATTTGCTTAGTGTTGATGTAGCATGGACTTCCTACGAGAGCCACATATGTTTTACTCTGGGTGCCAAGCGTGTGGTCAAGATCGTGAGGACATGGCCAAGGGCTCTCGCGCCCAAGTGCTGTATATTTTCACGCACCTGAATGAAGAGCGCCGCTAGCCAGCGTTGTTTGTGCCTGAAAGAGGCCGACGGACAGAAACGGCCAAACAGTCGCCGACGAGACCACCGCGGGTTATATCCCCAAGGATGAGGAGGGGAAGATGGGGAGAGGGGGTGAGTCCCGTTTGTTGCCCAAGCAATCAACGCAAACACCGACGTAGAAGCCAGCCAAAACACAACAAAAACCAAGGCCCTGCGAGTCATCTCGTACTCTGTACATGTGTACCTTTGATATTTGATATTTGGGAGGTACTACTCTGTGTGCCATACACAATTTTGGTCAGTTTCACGAACGCGTCTATCTGGTGAAAAACAGATAATAACCCACTTGGCGAGATCTCTTCGCCTCGTGTACCCCCTCCACTGGCTCTGAATCAGGACACAGGCCGGCGTGATTGTGTGCAAGAAATGACGCTGAGATCTTCGAGCCTTGACCAACTCCCGGTCGATGTACCCTCGGCCGACCTGGAAAGGATGCAATGGGATTTGCATGTGCCGGCGGGAGAAGTAGACAAAGTTTTTGGAGTTCGGCAGGCCAGGGCGACATTCCGCACGGAATACATAGGAGGGTGTGGAATTTGGCGTGGCATGGGGCAGGACGAGACGGAATGGGAACGGGAGCATGCCCAGTGGGTTCCTTGTCAAAGGCCATCGTCGACCACCGGACTTCATCGATAGCAGTATCAACCGTTGATCAAAATAGGGCGATCTGCTTGACCTCCTCGATCAGAGTACCGGGACTCAACGACACGACGGCTTGCTCGCTAGCCACCGTAGCAGTACAGGTACCGCCCGCGTTTAAGAAACGTGTCATTTGGGTCGAGTCCCACCTTCTATTTCGTCACCACCGGCGAGGATAGGTCATTGTTTAGAGTTTAGTGTAGGATCTGCGGATGGGCAATGTTTCTAAACCCGAATTTCTTATTTTCCGTGAAAAGCTGAGCCCCAGATTGCTAAATTCTTACTTCTCAATCGCGGACGCTAACTGTATACGCACCGCTGCGATCCTCGTGGCCATAGCGTGCTCCAGCCGGCAAAACAACACCCTGGCCCACCACATCCTTTTGCTAAAGCCTCTCACGTGGCGCTGTCGAAGAAGGGCGAGGGGGTAACGGAGGTCGAGATACGGGGCGGGGGGAATGCACTTTGGGGGAGGGAGTAATCCTTTGTGGTAATTGCTAACGCGTAGTTCTGATTATTGACACGACCTTCTTCGCGGAGCAATGACTACGCTTCGTGTTTGTGACCGCGTATCTCTCTAGGGACAGAGCAACACCCGTTCGTAAGTCCAACTTGGTATAGTATTGAATTGACTCGACATGCACTACTGTAGGCCGGGAAACATGCGATTTTTTGCCTGGTCCTCACGTTAGCATCCGAGAACCATCTTGGCGAATCTCTTGACAGCATCCCCCCCCCCTTTGTCCGACCACCGCCCGAGTGTTGCAGTGGAATGGATCTCACAAGCATCATGCCACGTGCTGTGCTCTATCGGCCAGACATCTCCTTTCGGCCGAATATCTCAGTCACTCTTACCTGAATCTCTATGGCGGCGGCCCACATTCGCCTCCGAAGGGCCCCCTCCTCCCGCCCCTTCTTCCCCCTCCAGCACTTTTGCAAAACCCCGGCCGACGGCACGATGACCTTGACTCTCACGGCCTCCTGGAACCGTCGTTTATACGCCTTTCGGACGAGGAAACCCCTGATGCTCCTCTGAATCAGCAAGATGGCCGGTAGGCCGCAGAGTTCGAAGGCGCGGGTTGCCCGCTTGCGCCGAGCGCGACATCTGGGACGTGCCGCGGTGTGTGTGTGGAAGGGGGCATCCCTTGCGCGTCAATTGCTTACCTTCGCCCATGGATCACGCGCATGTCGCTTGGCAAAAAACCAACGCCCCTACCGGTTGCGAAAGTATCGACCATCCCCCAAGCGTGAAAGCGCTCCGTACGGGAGTTGTACGGAACGACACCGAGCCTGTGCCCACGACGAATCGTTCCTCACGAGTTAGATCGTACGGAACATGGAAGCACTACGAAAAAACGCGGTATTATTTGAAGACGACAACGACAACAACGAGAGAATCAACAATCATACGGCGGCGCATTTTATATACGATCTACCGCATTCTTCGTTTGATCGCTCTACGCTTAGCTTAGTGCCCCGCTACCGTGGCACGGCTTGCCTTGCAGTGAAACCCCGCCCCCCTCGCTGTATGTTCCTTGCCGCGAAATAGTGTGCTGCGACCCAAGCTGCATAGCGACGGGCCACGTGTCCCCGGAAAAGGGCCTATATTTTAGAGGTGGGGATGACAAGGCGAGCAGCGGATCGTATCCAGAGGGCGGGAGTGAAGCCGTAGGGAGTAGACGGCGGAGGGCCGGAGTAGATGGATCGCCTCGCGTGCAAAAGGAGCCGCACTGTTAATAATCTCGGCTCACGGGGATGCCAAACGATTTTTCCCGCACGGTAGTGTCACAGAAACACATCGTGCTTGGTGGGATCCGTAAACTCCGGCGTGTAAACTCCTCACGCGAAACGTTGTTCAAATTTTGTGCTGCAACCAGCACAAGCTGCCTATAGTACTACCGAACGCCACAGCTCGAATGCGTGCCCCCGTTCAAAAGTACTCTAACCTCCCCCCCGGCCTAGTCAAAGCGAGAGGTCGTCTTCCAACACGCCTAGGTGCTGTTTTGACGGGAGGCATCCCTCCGTTTGCCCTCCCACCAAGCTCACTCAGCACACATCTATAGCCGTACAAGAAATATCACTGCTCTCCGACGAAAGTCATGCGTACATGTACTCCTTGCTGTGAAACCTCTCTCACGTCCCAAAAACCATGTCGAAATCAATTTACCTGTAGGCCGATGGCCCCGGCGCGGGCCCGCGCACGGAAAGCCAAGAATTTTCTCTGGGTGGAGAATCGACGCCAACCGGCAGACAACCTTGTTGCCGCCAGGACGGCGACAACTTTCCACATGGAGGCATAACTGGCAAATGACACGGATGAAGGACCGTTTTTCAGGCATGGTTCGGCCGCTGAAAAACGTTGTCGTACGTGTATGCTGCGGTCTAGATTGCGTCTGCACTGCGACTGTGTTGCGACATGCTCCCTTTTTTAGTGAGCCATCTTGCCTAATAGAAGGGACAACTTTGAAAGCGAAAGGTTGGATTATTGTGTTCGGGCTACGGCCTGTCAGAATTGTGAGAAGTAAACATCTCTTGATCTTGGATTTTTAAACCGTCGAAGTGATTCCTCTCTGTGAACATTTCTTCGGTCAAGCAAAAGTAACAACATTGACGTACGTACAACAGCTTTCACCAGGAATTTTGGTTGAGGTCGACTTGTCTGATTCGAGAAATGGGTCAGGGCAGCTCCTTTACCCTTATCGCAAATGTGGCTGCCCCCTTTACGTCCTAGATGGTAACGAAACGTTGTGTTGAAAACCGAAGAAAAAGAGTAACGCAACAGTGACAAACCTGAAAATGGTGCGTACATGTCAATCCCTTCCCGAAAAACAACCAAGAACGTGACGCAACAACTGCGACAAAACGCGAACTATGTACTCGATGCAGCAGCACACTCCAACTTCGCAGCAACACGCACACCATCTACCTTCGCCCAAGATGACCTCGGAAAACCCGCTGCACTGCGAGCACCGCCCGCTGGCGCCGCCACAGGCGCCGGGCTGCGCGAGGCAGGCCACCGAGCCTCCGCTCTCGCTGGATCCTCGTCGCCGCCTCGACGAGCCGCCCCAGCAGGACCCCGTAGCGGTCCAAGACGCCGGCGTCTAGATCGGGCGGCGGACCGGACGCCGCGAACGCGCCGGCAGCGTGGCGTACGTTTTCTGCTGCTGCGCCGCCGCCGCCACCGCCGCCGACGGCGGCAAAGGAGCCAGAGACAGATCGGGGAGATTTTCCCTCTTCCCGCGGAGGAGTCTTCTCGTGCAGCTGCTGCTGCTGCTGCCGGGATATCGATAGTTGTGAGCCGTTCCGTGCGGTGGTAGGGCTTGGGAGAGACGTACCGTCGGGTGGGGCCGGCGCTGCGGAGAGGTGGCGCCCTGAGGAGGCGACGGGTCCGGCTACGTCGGCGCTCCTTCTTGAAATAGGGGCGAGGAGGCGAGAGCGATTCTCGGTGTAAAGCTCCATGAAAAGCTTGCGGGCGTTGGGGCCTAGGCCGTGGAAGAAGTGGGGGTGCGTGCGGCCAGCTTTGGTCGCGGCGGGGGTGGCAACGGAGGGGTTCGTGTTTGGTTGATGACCGGCACCATGACTTTCCCCCCCGCTCTTTTTCGGTGGCGGCGGATTTCCCTTGGTTTGATCTGCATCTCCATTCGACTCGCCGAAGCGGTCGAAGTGCTCGAACTTTGGTGCCGCTTCTCTGTGTTTTGTTACGAAACAAAATGCGCGAAAATGATCAAGATGCGACAATTTGTTGGAACGACATTGATCGGTGCTTCTTGTGTCGCAATTTTGTATTTTTCCGTGTCTACTCTCGAGCTTGATCTGTCGGCGATGAGAAGGCCGGGTGGAAGGCGACAAAACCTCACCACCTGGCTACCGCCACTGGGATAGATGTTCTTACTTGAACGTTGAGTATGCCGTGTTGGAGTTGAAGCGGGGGCCTCGGGTGAGCTCGTAAGTAAGTAAGGGTCCCATCGCAGGACGTTATCGCAGTACAACCTCGTGCACGGTAACCCTACCACGATATTCTTCAAGGGCGTACAGGACACCTTGCTAGGTTTCGCGCGGTGCAAGAGTACTGTTCTCCATGTCTCAACCACGCGGAGAAGTGCATATTGAGCGTAGACACCGCACGCTGTTTCGCGCTTGGTCATTCAACCTAGTGATGCCGGCATTGGCGACAAAAGCACAGGTTGGATTCTCGTAATGCATGAGATATCTTGCTGACCCCTTGACTCCCAGAGCTATTCCCCGTGTTGCGGCGCTTTCCTCCTTCCCTCGGCCCGTCTCGGTTCATAAATCCACGTCACGGGTCACTATTTTCGTAGAACAAAACACACTTCCCGTTGCAGCCAACTCTCGCTGAAGGGCCCGAGGCTACTACCAGTAGCGCAGTATATCGATCTCGACCATACCTTAACGCCTTGCTCTCTGCGATTATCCTCTCCATCGTGCTCCTCACAGCGCCCTCCTTGACGCGCGGGTTGTTGGCGAGGGTCCGGTGCCCAGACCTCGCTGGCCCCCACAGCTCCTGTACGACGCCACAATATACCGTCAAGATCAGAGTAAGCTCACCACACGCGGGTTATCGACCTCTATAGGCGGCAATGCCTTGACCTTGCCAAAGTGCAGCAGTACGTGCAACCTGCATAAGGGGAGAACTCTGTTGACCTCGAAGCGTTCTTCCTTTTCGTTGATGTGACTTCTTGAGTGCACGTAGAGCGCTCCGGGGCCTTGACGGTGCACAAGACATCGATCCTGCATAGAAGGGCAGCCCGCATGATATCCAGGAGTATCCAAGCGATTTGATTTCACTTTCCGGGTGTTCATGGGAAACAACTGGCGCAAAAGTCTACAAGAATGGTGGTTGTTGCTGTTGTAAAACTCTTCGATTTGTGTGGCTGCTAGCACTCGATCTTCAGCAGCGAACATCGTACGCCACTGAGACCCCGTCGACTTTAGTTCTGAATAGGAAAAACGAAACCAATCCTGAAGGCTCTGCCTGAGATCGCTACAAAAGAAGGCGCTCTGGCAACTGGGAAGGATGTCTAGCATGTGGACGACAATGATGGACGACCACGATTGATGCGCAAAGGGTTAACTGGTGAATTCGAAAGGTACGGTTCTGTCCTGTGAAACGATCATGTAAACATGAGTATCGAGCTCTACAGCAAACACTTGTTCAAAGGGTTTAATACAAAGCTAAAAGTACTAATCCCCAGGGTGTCATGGAAAAAGAACGTTGTTCTTTGTCCTTGGTGTTCCAAGTCATGAAACCAAAACGTGATTGTGTGAGAAGAAGCAAGAACACCGCATACAGCGTCGGTTTGGCCGGGGCTACAACAGTGACCGGGATGGCTGTGCCATCAGAATTCTCCACATTACCAGCTCCGAGAGAAAACCAAAGTCACGCCGCCACACCAAGCATCACCTGCTGTGTCGGCGGAAAAGTTTCGGCTCGCCACTGCGCCGGAGTCCTGCAGTCTACCAGCAGCGAAGAACCGGCTATCGCGTCTAGCGCTCCCCACACGGGCAGCCCTTCCACGTTTTGCCCCACGAAGCTGGCCTTCACGTTTCCTCGGATGACTCGATGACGCCGCCGCTGCCGTCGATCGCCGTCCTTTCGGCGCTCTTCCTGGCTGTTGATGTCGCCGATTGGGATGATGGGATGGACACTCGAGGGCGATGCCGTCCCAACGGGGAGTCGACCGCCGTTCGATACATCGTTTCGCCCCCCTTCTTCTCTTCCTCCACCTCCACTGGACCCTTTTTCCTCGCCAACTTGCCTCTCCCCGCCCGCCGCCACTACTCTAATGCTGTGAGGTCGACCTGCGGCCGCCCTTTTGCTTTCATCGTGGTATCCTGGGCTCTGCACGGACACACCGCGTCTTGCATTCGAGCGGTCATCCGCTTCGTCAGCAACGCTGGGGTCGCGCCGGCCCCCCTCTACCGAATCGGGCGTCAGCGCTGTTGCTGTTTTCTTGGCTTTGGTTGCTGGGGACAGGAGTGATGAGGGTGGTGTGTTTGAAGAAGGAAGTGGGGAGGAGAAGGCGTTGGTGCTATTGTCAGGAAGAGAAGGGGGTGGGCGGGCGGAGGCGGCGAGCTCGTTGTGAAGAGTCGTGAAGACGAGAGCGAGGCGGTCAGCATGCGACAGCCCCGTGAACGCATCGCTGCCAAGAAAAAAGACAAGCGGCGGTGGCGGTACGAGGCGGTGGGGCGCGGGGAAGAGAGGGAGTTCAGACTCGGTTGCCGCTCAGAATAAAAATATTGGGGCTATGCTTCTGGTGTGTGCGTTCAAGGACGAGAGGAAGGGAGTCAGTACGCACCGCACCCTGCCGGTGGCGTATCTGTTTTACCAAACAAACAGACCAGGGATAGAGTCACGAGCAAATAATGCGACGAGCGGTGGCCGGGGGGTCATGAAGTGGAAGGAGTTGTGGGCGGCGCTGGGAAAACTTTGGTTACCCACGACTAGCTAGAAACTAGGACACAAGGTGCCGCCGAGATTCTGACAGGCGTTTGCAAAGCCCTCAAGCCCCCAAGCATAGTCTGCAGAACACACGCTCTCGCCAGGTAGAGCGTTGGGAGTACTAATTGGGCATCGCTGTGGTCACCTGACAACCAAGATCGATATGTGGGTCTGCAGCATCGTGAGTTGCGTCATTCCCGGAGGTTTCGGTCCTCTTACGGCGCCAGGGTTCGCGTCCCTCTCTTTCGCCGATTTGGCTGCGATGGCGAGTGCCTGTGGATCACGGGAAGCGTTGCCGCATACGGGTTGGTTGTTGATATTGGGCAGAAAATAGTATCACAAACAGCAGAGTCTCGAGAACACGTGTGCTTGAGGTGTGGGTGTCGACTAGTGAGAATATCGTTTTCGGTGCTACAAGTATTGCGAAACACTAGGGCCCCACATGGACGGTCGTGAGGAGCGGAGCCAGAGCTGCCAACAAGTGTAACGCAGGTCATCCAAGACGTGTTGTTGACTTATTCAGAATCGCGCCAATCCGATCGAAAACGCGGACCAAGCTCATAAGTACACCATGTCAAAACAACTTTTTCCAAAGAGCAACAGGGGCGTCTCACCTGGCCCTTCGTTGAAATCGTTGTCCCGACGGACTTGATGGGCGTAAGGATTGGCACTAGCTTTCCGTCGGAAGGCCTGTCTCCGAGCATGTACACGGACGCTTCCCAACGCTTGGTGCGAGGGTCGAACACGGCTCCCCGGTGCATGTGTCGGGCACCGCCGAGAAGTCGTCGCTGTTGGTACCTGGAAACAGCGGCGAAACCGTTCCGGGGCATACGGCGGTTACGCTTGGCGAATTTTGCGTTGTCGTGGGCAATTCCACGGTGGGAGACATGCATACGTAGGCGACGGGGCTAAGGTGGAGGTGGGCGAAGAGAAGAAACAGGGTGTTAAAAAAGACCTGAGAAAAGAGACAATTCGGCAGTACAAAAATGACATCCAAGCGAGAGGGTGACGTGCGAACACTTGGTCGGTCGTTGAAACACTGCCCGACGTTGTGAGCGCGACACTGCCTACACGCGCTACTATTGATGTTAGCTGCAAGCAACAGCTCTCTTTCTCACCAATAGCTGAGGTTTGTCAGCCGAACGGCCAATGGTTGTAAGGTCTCACTCGTCTCCAATATATTCTTGAGCAGCTGCTGTCGAGGACAAACTAGCGGCTCGAGCAAGGCCTCTCCGCGTCTGACGGTAGGTGGTGGCGGCGGGAAACAGGGGGATTCACCATCTAGCAACAATTTTGGCAATGGGTTGACGGTGCCAAAGGCACAGGGGTGAAAATCGTTAGGCAGACAGGGTACATCGTGTGGAGCGCGTGTACGGCACGTTGAATCTCTGGACAGATCGTGGCCCTACACGATACCGTGGATACCAGGGTATTTTTGACCTTACGTGAGTTTGTGCGGAGACAAAGCCGTCGTTGCACTGCGGCAGTGTCTGCCAGAATCCCACCCTGTTCGTAACCGAAGTACGTTTCGAACTACTTTATTGATCTTCAACACGACCGTTTCTACTGGCAGCTACAGTCGTAACCAGCAGCAGGAGGAGCACTAGCCCGATTTCTGACGAACTTTCCGCCGCTAGTCGGTACCTGAATCGCGTATCTTTGCTGCGATGCAGCGCCCGGCCAAGTCTTGCTAAGTCGGTCCTGGCTTTGCGGCGCAACGCTGTGCCTACTCCACAGCAATTCGGAGAGGTATGTTCGAAGACGTCTATTTAGTTGTTGCCAGCTGTTTTACCTCGCCTCCGCCTTGATACGCTCTGCCGTAGATGTCGACTGAAACGCGCCGCTTCTGCCCCCCGCCTGCCTCTCCTTCCCGCCGCGCTTTCTGCTCCGCGGTACTCCACCTGTTTTACTAGTTGCACGACTGTTAAAACTGGATTCCGATCCTTTCGACCTAACCGAACTTCTCGATCGCAGGGATGACAAAGCCGACAACCCGTCCATGTCCACGGAACTCGCGTCTGAAGCTCTCGATCGCGACGAAGCGAGTGGTATTTCGCCCATACCCTTTTCCCCAATCCAACTCCCTGCCGTGTTCTTGTCGCCGGGGTCACCGGCCGCCATGTGGGGGACTTGACCCACCCCTTTGACTTGGAGCACTGGGTGAAGGGGTGACCTGCTTGAACGGGACGACGATGACATGGATTCAGAAGAATCTGCCGGATTGCTGATTTTACTCTCCAAGCCGTGCGCCGACCGCGAAGATAAGCCCGTAGTGTCTTGCTCCGTCACCGTCCCTGACGACGACCTTGACCCTGCTGAACCCCCCCCAGGAATGCCGTTGACCCATCCTCCTTTCGAAGGATCTCTTGGCGAGGGCAGGAGAAGAGTAACAGATGCAGAGGATGGTCGCTGTCCCCGTCCTTCCCGCCTGAACTTCAGCACTCGTGGTCGCTGCCTCGCCGCAGCGTCCAGTTGCCCATGCGCCTCGGGCGTTGGTGATCTTGCCGCTGTGGCGGCCGCTACTACCCCGACCGCGTCTTCGAAAGACACGATGCCGGCGTCGCGCGCGGCGTCCCCGGCTACCGGCATCCCGTTCACCTCGACCAGAATGTCGCCGGGACGAAGGATCTCGCGCCCCGCCGCCGGCCCGAATGCTTCAGCACCGCCCTGGCGCTCCGCCGTTTCTCTCGTTGTTCCATTGAGGCTTGTCACCGCCCGCATGCTGTGGCTCTTGTCGAGCAAAGGCCCACTGACGGCACCGTTGCTGGTATCTGTCGAGGGAAGACCGCTCTTCGTCCGATCGTGTTCTTGTGAAAGTCGCCTCCCGCGAGGGAGACCGAGTCCATCTCGGAGGAGTTCTTCACCACTCCCACTAGTTGCAGCTAGGGGCTGGCGTTCACCACTGTGGGGAACTGTGTCGTGGCCTGTTTCTGTGGTGGTGGCTCGAGCCCTAGCCAAACGAGGACTAGTTGTCTCCTGCGGTGGTAGCCGAGGGAATCTTTGAATTCGTAAAGCATGAGGTATCGGTACTGGCGCTGACGGGGCATCCGCCGGACGGGCGGCATTTTCCTTTGGCGCCGATGATGGGGAGGATCTAATTGGAGGCAGGGTCGAGGAACCGAGAACAGTAGCTCGTGGTGTCACTACGGCCACATCAGGGGGCTCTTCCCGTTCACATCTTTCAGAAGGCGAACCTAAGATGCCCGCGCTGTCTTGACCCACCTGGCGTCGGCTGGTATAATCCTCATCGTCGTCTAGCGTTTGACTGGTAGGAGGAAGAGCGGGGCGTACGACCGCTGCACGATCTACCGCCCACTCGAAGGTAATCCCGAGCGGACCTGTCGGCGGGAATATCACCTCGAAAATGTGATGTTCGTCGCTGCTAGCACTTCCCTCGCCGCTGCCTTTACCGCTGCCGCTGCCGCCACCGGGGGCATGATTCGGCGTGGCTATTGGCTCGGAGGTTGGACCGATGTTGTTGCTCCCGCTATGCCTTGCCGACGACGGGGCGGCTTCATTCCTGCTGTACGTTGACATCGTTCAATCGACGACGCTGTTTGCACTTGCAATACAGTGCAGCGGACGTTGGCATGCCGAATCCACCAACAGACCCCCGTCCGCTTTGACCACAACTTCGCGTTCAATAGGTGCGACCTCCCAGTCCGCCGTGTGATGCCTCAACAAATGGTACAGTTTGTCGATGCCTCACCAAACGGTGTTATTTGTCGACAGCATAGCTCGCACCTTAGGCCTACAAGGTACGGGGTTAACCCCACATCCTGCACAGGGGCAATAGTGTGCTAACGTCAGTGTGTGTGTCGCGCAGCGCCCGCAGCGCCGTGCCGCGATCGCTCACGATCTTGGTTTGGATCCAACCCAAAACCAAAAAGCGGTATGTGATGTGGAACTCTCTCGTCATTCCGCGGAGCCCCCTCGCTCGCTCGTCGTGGGTTGTCGTGGTTTGCCACCCACACCACTTGTGCTCTCTCGTGCGCTGTGTGCGAAGCGTGGCTTCGGATACTCTGCATAACCATGAAGCTTTCGCCGGTCGCGTCGTTGGTGAGTTGACCCAGTACACTATCCATGCAAAGGATGCTGGTTTTGTTCAGCGCCGCCTCGAAGTTGTGTAGTTGGTTGTCCCTCTCCCCGACAGCAGTTCGTTCATCAGCCTAATCTGTACGTTGGGCGGCAGGGACAGCGGTGGCAGGGCCGTGTGCCCCCAGGCTGCGCCTATTGGAGCAGGTACACAAGCAAGCAGAGGAAACAGCTACGGCGGTGCACTCAGGATTTTGCGATACTCCCAGAGTACGCGCCGAACAGCAGTACATTGACAGCAGTCCACACCGTATATCTCTCGCCCTCTCTCCCTGTGGCCTTCTGTGTTTCCTTTTGTCCTTCCCAATCTTCCCGAAGGATATGCATACAGTACGTTGATGCACACGTTTTGTCGCTCTGCCGCCCCGCTGCCCTTGGATGTGATTACAGCTTTGGGTTGCAATAGCGGGTTGCGTATTGATATCGAGCAACGCTCGCACACCTGAATTTTCCGCTGAGAGCTTCATCGGATGACAGGGGTCTGGGTCTTAACGTCTTGACCCGAGCGGTCGTGCAGGCCAACACTGCTGCTGATTGTTCAACGAACACGCCGATACAACTCAAGTCGAAGTAATATACCGCGCGCGTGCCTCGTTGTTACTCATATGATATGCAAGCGTACGACTTCTCTCTGGTATTCTGGTACACTGGTGAAGAACACTGCACCACGGCATGATTCTCCAGGATGAAACTAACACATTTCTTCTGCACCTTCCCAACATAACATATATGAGACACACAAGACAGCTACCAAACTGTCTTGTTGAGCCTGTTACCCGCAGGGGACATGTCCCTATATGCTGTCTGGGAAATCGTAGACATATAGGTACTTTCTGACGCTATGAATTCATTGCTAATCTGTCTCAGACTCTTTTCTATGATAGAGATGGATTCGTTGTGTTATATTAAGAAAACAAAAAAAAAAGACCGACCCTCCTGCCTCACATGTACATACATACCGTTCCACATTCATGGCTATTCCCGTACCGGTAACCGTTTCACCTCAACCCCACCCCGCCCGCCTCCCCAGTACTCGATGGGCGCGGTGCTCATGAGTGCGTGCTGCAAGTACCACCTGGTGGACGGCCTAAGAAGGTCTAAGGTGAGACTGAGACTGAGACTGAGAGGTGCAGGTATCTTGTATCATCGTCTTGCCCAGTCTTTCCATGTAGTTCTCGGGACACCCACGCTGTTGTGGGGAGCACGGCAGACACCGAGAATTTTGGTAAAAAACCAAAGACACATTCTCTACAGATGGCGCTTGAACTATACTTCACAGCGGAGTTGCGAACAGAGCGTGCCGAAATAGCGAACCAGCGAGCCGACGGCAACAAAACTGTTCCGCAGAAGTATCCTGTGTCCCAACCAGACCAACGAGTCCTCGTGTACAGGCCACACCAGCACGCAGATGGACCACACCCCAAGCCCCGTTTACCATGAACTGCCGTACTCCGGCACCGCTATAACCTTGCGTCGTCACCTATAATAGTATCCTGCTTCCAGCGCTCTATTTTCCACACGGCATTCGTCGCGTGACTACGTTAAGTCGCGCATTGCTGAGTTTGCATCCATTGTAAACCACGCGTTATGCGATAGCAAGTTGCTGAAGTTTGCACCCGAAGTTGCAAAATCACGCTCTTTGCGGTTGTTCCTCGCCGTGAGGTTCCGGTTGTTGGCGGCATGTCTGCCCTCGTCCATGGCCCTGTCCTTTGAAATGGGTACGTTGGCCTTCTCCGAACCTTTATCTCCCCCACCACGGGACGGTAAACCGTACACGGTCCCGTCGGTCTGCGGAACGATGACGAATTGTAGCAGTACAGCAGTAGAACTTCTGCCCTCTTTCATAGGCATCCACGTACCGTACCGAAAGAGTATCGCATGTTTTATTCTACTGTAGCATCGTATCGAAGTCCTCCGCCCAGGTTTGTACTCAACACCGCTTACCCTCCGCCGGTTTACAATTGGCGCTGTAAGGGCTCTGTTGCAAGTGCTTGTGATCTGAAGAACAGCATCGCCGTGCACGATACCCAGTACCCCCTCCCCAACCCCGCCGGCTTCATTAACTTGGGCAGATGACGATGTCGTACCGGTACGTGAAGCAAGGAAAGGAGTACTGGAGGCTGGGCAGCAGCGTCCTTCTCTATGACCTCGAGAACCCTCTCGACATGTACACGCTGGTACGTACGTTGCTTTTGCTGCGGTATTTTTCGTTTCTTGAGTTTGAACACGACTCGTTAGGGGGTAGTGTTAGTGATAAAACCTGACGACAAAGATATGTCTTATTGGGCAGGTTTGTTGTTTGAGGACGGGAGGGGTAGTGTCATCAATCATCTCGGTAGTTCCCGCATCTGCAAGTCCACTACCTCCCATTCCGTATGACTTGAGAAAAACAACACACTGAACAAACACTTTTGTGTTCGCAAGCTAAGCAACAACTCAAACATGAGATCTCGCAATCGAATTTCTGTAAGCCCATCCACCCAAACCCCCCCGTTTCACCGTATTGTTTTGTGTGAACAGGCTGCGTTGTTCATGTGCTTGCTGGCGCTGGAGCAGAAGTTCTTCAAAGGCTCGCCGTCGGCCATGGCATCGACGCTCGTATTCATCGCCGCTGCGCTCTTTACGCCAGGCTTCTACTTTCGGGTGAGAGGGCTCAACTCAACTCAACTCAACTAAACGCTTAGGAGGAGGAGGAGGCTTGGGGCTCTGGGGTTGTGGGGATGGGATCAAGGGTGGAGGGATGTGGTATGTACCTTGGTCGTCTGCCGGGCGCCCGGGGGTACAAACGTCTTCTACAGATCTTGAATAGAAGGCATCATTGGAATTAAGGCAAACCAAGAAGAATGGTTGCTTTGCGTCACCACCTTGCCTTGTTTTCGTTTTCCAGTTTTTCCTGGTTCAGTGACCTAGACTATGCCATTGCGCGTCACGGTGATGTTTTACCCTTCGGAATGCGAAGCCACAAGGCCGTTCGTACCATCTGCCAGCGATTTTTGCTTTGTGTCTGAACCCGTCTGGCACACATGGGTAAAGTAGTTGCTGTCCTTGAGACTTTTTGAAGCGTTCGATGGGTACCTGGTCGTTGACGAAGGTCTCTGCTTTTGCCCCTTTGGACCCCCTCCCGCCCCCCTCAGGAACTGCGGCTAAAGGAACCTGCTGTCATGATGTACGTGGCCATTGCCACCTGGGCGACGATTCGGTGAGAGGCGGCTTTTTGGTTGGCGATGCTCTTTTGGTGTGGTCACACGTTCGGTGGCGATATTGATGGTGCTTGATAACGATGTCATTGATCATTGTATCGATTGCCATGGCAATAAAACTTGCAGGAATGCTGCATGCCGCCGCTTCAAAATCGCTTGAATTTTTATTTTATCTCTTGAAATGTTTGCATGACTCGTGTATTGCGGATGGATTCCGTATGGAAAAGGACGTGTAAACAAACTAGTATGTCAAAGGCAACAGCAGTTTGACCATTACGGATGTGCGAAGAAGGTACTGAGCAGAGATCGGATTCGTTTTTGACGTGAAAATAACAAGAACACTGAGCAGAGATCGGTGTGGTTTTGGCGTGAGATAACAGCAGCACTGAGCAGAGATCAGATTTTTTTTTATGTGAAGATAACAACAGCACTGAGCAGAGATCGGTTTGTTTTTTTGTGTGAAAATAACAACAACACTGCTCTGATATCGGTTTGGGTGTTGAGGTGAAGGTAGTAACAACACTGCCCAGAGATCGATTTGGCTTTTGATGTGAACGTAACAACAGCAACAACAACAGCAGCAGCAGCAACACCGCCAACCTGCTGATTTGCGTGTTCCTGCACTGCTACTGCTGTATGACATGATATCCATGCAGATGCTTCTTCCGCCCTACTGCCGGAGTGGGGAGCCAGGCGATGTTCTCGGCGCTGGGGCCTTTGATACCGATCGCTACTCCGCACTTCCGGAAGGGAGAGATCGATGTGGCGCTGCTCAAGCACCAAGCGATGGCCGTCGCGGTGGGGTTAGCGGTGAGAATATTTGTGGAGTGCAACGTGGCTGGCTAATTTGGTCTTGAAAATCAGACACACGACGTGTTTGAAATAACGGATGAAGTATTTAACGACCTGATCTCGCAGGCAGGTATTCATATCATAAAGGGGGGTGGGGAGGAAGCAGATGTAGACAGGGAGAGAGGGACGAGGGGAAAATACGCCAAGACTCAAGTCAACAAACGAAAAATGCTCCTGGACATCGGAGGACTATATGTATGAAAAATAGAATCGGAGCACTACATGTACGTGTAACCAAAAAAAGAAAGAGTCGTTGGTATGTTTCTATTGTCAGGAGCAGCAGTAGTAAGCAGCAGCAGGGGCGGTTTCTTCCCAGTGCCAGTCAGTGGGTTTTACTATTGGAAAAGAAGACAAGGCTTCGCCACGGCGCTCACATTGAGAGCGTCAACCCGTTCATTCATTCCTCTGTTGTTGCATCTCATGTTCTCGCGTGCTTACGCCACGCGATGCGCATGTTTTATTTTTGTTGTCTCGCCCCCACCAGTGCGTCCTCCTCATTCCGGATGCCGAGGGCGCGCGGGCCCTTCGCCAAAAGCGGCAGCAGGAGGCCAGCCGGAAGGCGAGGGCATCCGCGAAGGGGAAGAAGAAGAAGAACGCACCGCCGGTGCCGGACACGAGCAGCAGCAGCGAGGAGGAAGAAGAGGAGGAGGCGGACAGCAGTAGCGATGAAGAGTAGGCACCGGGACGGCGGTGTGTGGTGTGGTTTGATGCCGCCGCGCCGCTGCGATATCGCCTTCTAGAAAGATGGGCTTTCCTTGGCGGCGGGCAGCGCAGTCTAGGCAACCCGCTGCAGCGACTCGATCGGGGTGTGGCGGAGCATGTATGCATGTGCATGCACGTGTGTTGCAAAATCGATTGGGATTTGTACAAGCATGCGTAGATAGGTCTCTTAGGTTTCGGGGGGGGGGGGATAGGGGGGGGGAGAAGACTGCCAGTTTCGCTTCAAAGCATCGTGCTTCGGGAAATCTTTGCGCATTTGAGCGTTTAAGGTAAGATTGTTGTAATATCACCCTTCTTAAGGTCGTATGTAACACCCTTCTGATGGTTCGAGCACCATTGGAGGGAGGGGTGGTCGTCTTGGCCTTCGAGGCCACCTTGTGCAAACCCCGCAACAACTGGAAGTGAAACACACCGTCGGGTGCAATATGACTTGATGAGTTGATATCGAATATTGATACTGAGTGAGTGCGGATCAACAATGTGGCTACAACTCGATCAAGGGGGCTACGCTGCTGTATTGTAGTGGTGATGGTGCCTTGCACGGTCGGCAAAGGGGCCCAGACCGTGGCGGCGTCACGACTTGCTGGCGCTCTTTGGTTTGGTCTAAAGTGTCGAAAACTTGGGGCGTGTCAACGACGAACGAACTCCTACGAAGAGTATTGCTCAGGGGCATGACGTCGTGTCCGATCAAACTCACAGGCACGAGCCTACCGGTGCTGGGATGACAATTTGGTCTAAATCGCTAAATCGTAGCGGGCGGAGACGCAGCCAAACTTGAGGGGAGCTGCACACCCCGCATAGGTAGCAGGATATCCTTCTTTGCACCCCCTGGTAGATGCGAATGTTCTGTTTCGATGTTACTACTAATATATAACTCCGTATAACGGGGAGATTTTGCGTGGCGGTGAGTGTCTTGCAGCGCAGACGCAATGAATTCTTCGCCCCGCTTGTGGCATCATTGACGCCGTCTTTGGAGGCTGAGTCGGAGCTTGGCGTCCACGCGTTTGCTGGGTTCAAGGTAAGACTAATGACTAATGATTGGACAACGCTACCTACCAATGTGTAGCGACGGGCGAGAGGGAATGGAGGGGGTTAGGGCTTAGCGGGGGGAGCCGACCAAGCGCAACAACAGCTGAGGGCGAACAGCTGGAGGAGTGATAACCAAGCCGGCCTGGTGATGCGTGGGGGCATGTGGGAGTGGGAGGCAAGAGAGAAGTACGTCAGGGGGGGGGGGGGGCACAACAGTGTGTGATTCTCAAGCTCGCCGCAAAAAAGTTTTGTGTAGCGTTTTATGACAGAGGCACCCGATCGGAGGACCAGGAAAGCTCCAAACGTTAGCAGACGTAAAATGGCACGGAAGGCGCAGCCCGTGGTCGTTGCTTTACTTCTGTATGCTCTCGGGACAATAACAACATCCTTCCATAGTGTATGCCTTTTTTAACGTGGACTCGTGGAGTACATTGATTGGTCGCAGGTGCTGTTTGCCTGTGGGTGAGGCGCAGAGCGAGCCGCCCCCTTCAAAGAATATCAAGCATGGTAGTTGTGTTGTATCACCATATCGATAGTGATGAAAACGAGTAGTCTAATCATCGTATGCATCTGCATAGATAGACGAAAGGAAAAACAGCTCAACAAAATGTTTTCGAGCAATGGCCTTGTGTGCGTACCCCATCGTTCTGGATGCAACATACTATCTATCCATACGCGCAACAAGAGAGCCACGGGGAACGGAAAAAAAGGACGAGCAAGTAGTTTGTTCGTGCAGTTATTCTGAGATGGAACCGGAAACACGACCAAATGGATGGGGGAGGTGGGACTATATGCATACAACATTAACATAAACATTTCGATTATGGCCGCGGGAGGGTGGAGACGTATACCGTATATGACACAAGATAACACACCCCCTGGACCGATTTTCAAAGCTCGATTACTCCACGACGAAGAGGATGCATAAACGAAACAATACATTTTCGAAAACGTCTCGACGAGACGGTTCCAACGCCGCCGTTTTCGGCGCTGTGACTCTTCCTGCTGTTGAGAAATCGAGCTTTGAAAATCGGCCCAGGGGGTGTGTTATCTTGTGTCATATACGGTATTATTATTATTATTACGTGTGGTCGTGTATTTATTTCTTGTTGAAAAATGTGACTAAAATAATCAAACAATGTGTTCTCACACGCCCTCAACCTCACATCTCCGCCCCCGAGCCCTCTCATTTGATGAGGTACTCGGGAACGGACACTGCTGTGTATCTTCCTTGTTTGCTCTCTCTCACCCCCGTTTACCTCCTGCCGGAGGTGATGCTGCAAGCGTGGCTTTGGACACGAATGAATGCAAAAATATTAATATTTTGATATCCAGGGTTGGTTGTGACAAATATGTCTTGCACCATATTCAAGGCTATACCCATCCATGAAATGGCTCAACCAAGCTCAACCCTCGGCTTTTTTGTGGGCTGTTGTGAAATTGCGAAGAAGCATATTTTTATTTTGTGGACTCCCTCACTCACTCGTGGACTCGTGGGGAGGAGAGAGGTTGTGGCCCCAAGTGAAGTAGACTCATTATTATCGCAAGCAAGCACGTTTGAATCCTCGAAATATTTCCTCCTCTGCTGCAAGATGAACATCTCTTGATTCACTACTTATTACATCTACCACCATGTGTGTGTGTTTACCACGCTCTTCGCAGCGAGCAGCAACAAGTGCGCATGAAAACACGTTTGTTTGGCGGTGATTGTGTGCAGCGGACACGACACGGATATTGTTGAGTGGAGTGGATTTTCTGGGGGCGCCGCAAAGTGGTTGTGTACTGAGGGGGTGTGGGAGATCGACATGAGAGCCAGAGGGCAAACCACTACATACGCAAGACAAGACAAAGGACGGACCAGACAGCAGCGCAGGGACAGCTGCCATCGCTAAACCCCTTGTTTCTTGGTTCCCGAGCGACGTGGGGATGCCACAGATGAACTAAGGGGCCGTCCTAAGGGGCAGCGGCTGCTTGACAGAGAGGGAGGAGGGCGGGAGAGACTGCGTGCAGGCCGCCGCCGTGCTAGAAAAAGTCGGAAATATTTTCATTCGAAATATTATCCAAGAGACGGAAAGAGAGACAGAACAAACAGGGGAAGTTTGAGTTGTTGCTGGTGATGATGTTGGCTCCGTCGAGCAGCAGCAGCACCAGGCGCCGGGCGGAGATCCTCCCCAACAACAGCCGAAGGTAAGCCACAGCAGTGTTGGGACGTTATCCGCACTCACACCTCGGTTGCTCGGTTCTGGGTTGCACTGGGGCCGGGGATGGTGCGTGTATATCACTGGCGGCAGCAATGGGAAAAGGTGTGCACGTGTGCGCTGTTGGCAACTTGCTGCTGCTGTGTACAAAAAGATGCCCCATGCTGTATAATTCTTTCTTCCAAGCGAAGAAGAAGTCGCTCCCATATGCGACGAACGCACCATCGCCGGCCATAGGTCGACCTCTTGGTAGCACTCGGTCTCATATCATATGTCCCTTTGATGTTGGGGCAAACTGCCGGTGTTGCGGGATGGTCACTTTTTTGGGTTCTTCGTCACACGGTGGTTGACATGGAGAACAGACATTCGGCGACTTCTACAAATATGGGCTGGAAGTACACTGCTGTACATGTATCATACATGCTCACATGCTCATCTCTCTCAACCAAGGTTCATATACATATGTGTTTGGTTTTATTTCAGCCAGCGCCATTGCGTGCACCAACGCATGAAAATAAAATTTGGATTCTAAAACGAATGGTGCTTGCTGCTGTCTAAACGGTGCCGCGGTGTTTGGGTGTTTGGTGTGTTCATGTTTGGTCAACGCTTTCGAAATCCGGATTCATGCACATTCCGCTAATTAATGGCGGAATAACCAGGTTGATTCCGAAGTGCCCATCCAGTATCCATCTAAAGCGGTAGGTGTTCGGCAACCCTCGCTGCTGTACAGCAGCACAAGACGTTATCCAAAACACCCGTCCGAACAAGCAAGTTGTTGTGCCAGGCGGGCAGTCTTTCTTGCATGCATGTTATGCGTGTGCGTCCTCTGCTTCGATAAGAAAAATTATATACCGTACGCGTGTGGCAGGAAGTGCAAGCGGGCTGCCGCTTCCTTTATGTGTGCCCCTCTCCCCTCTCACTGCGGTGTTCGTCCGTCCATGGCGGCAAGTTACACCGGCCAAACCTTTTTTTTTTGTTCTCTCTCATTTTTGGCCAATGTTGTGGTTGCCTTTCACCCTATTCGCTCTCAGCCTTTTACCAACGTGTGTTTGCAGGCGGCATGGACGTTATTATCGTTGACGGTCCTGCGTCGAAGTAAGAACAGCTAGTCGGAGCACTATTGATACAGCAATGACAGATGAGGCAAACAGCCCGATATGATATGATATGTACAGCAGTAAATTATCAGCGCTTTCTTCATCTGGGAATTTGCCGTTATTGTACTACATTAACCCGCTAGTAAATATATGGTACTTCTAGCTTTAAATAGTGCTTGCCTACATATGTATGCGTATGTATAGATATCTTTAGTGTCCGCATTTCCACGCGGCATACCTCCAAACGCGTGGTTTACTGCTGTGTATGTGGTGCCCTTGTACATAAAAAGTGGATGGATGGGACCGGGTTGCGACAAAAAAGAATAAAAAAACATAGAACGGATTATTATATTATTATGTGCAAGTATTATTCCGTCCCGTGTGTTGACGCCTTCAAACCGGACCGGCGTCGGATTGATGGAAGAGGCAGGCGCCCTTCGGTTCGTTCGGAGTGATGGCGCACCAGGGTGCGATGACAATAGCGCCTGGCCGTTTTGTCTCCCATTAACAAAGCTGCAAGAATGTGTTCCAAAGAGGACGTATGGCGCGCGCGGCACGCGGCATTGTACTAGACATCTTTCAAACTCAATTCCCGTCTCCCGCATCCGGTTTTGGCGAAATTTTGGCGGTTTACTTTCCCGTTCCGGTTGGGTAAATATATGCGGGAAATCCGAATGGGTTTCAAACTCCATTCCCGTCTGTATTGGGATCTTCCACGCCCAGTTCACGCCGAAGTTCCTTCGATAGAGAGCCGGTGACGGGTACGCACAAACACGTTCGCTACGGCAACAGCTCCCCCACAACACCCCGATTGAAGCGCTGGGAGGCAAGTCATGGATGGCCATGAAAGCGACAGTGGCGATGAGGAGCAGCGCCGTGAGGCGATGTGTGTTGCAGCGTCACTGCTGATCGTCGACAGTGCCACCCAGACTGAGCAGGAAGAGGCCGAGTTCGAGGATTTGCATAAGAGACTCGAGAGCGACGCCATGCTTGCAGCGGAGACCGCGGTGGAAGGCGACGGTGAGAGCGATGACCTCTTCGGGATAGGGTCCCCTTTCGGCATGGCGAGCCACGGGGTAGAAGAGAGGATCAGGGGTTCGTTGATGGGCACCTGTGTGAGAGAGGCGGGGAAGTTGTTGCCTGGACCCGGGCGTGGACGGAGCGAGGCAAACGCCGCAGCATCGAACACGCGGCGAAACCTCAAATACCCGGACGGCATATATGAGGCGTGGTGCCAGGAGACTACGTGCCCTTTCCAACGCAACACGGGATTTAGGCGCAACGAGTTCGACGACTTCTACACAGCGCAGGGCGGAGACGAAGGGCATCTCTTCAGAGTTCCAAGGGACATCGACGGGCAGTTCACGCCAGCTGAGAACAGTGCGCGACGTACGATCAAGGGAACGCTCCGCTACCGCGACCGAGTCCTGTGTTGGCTCATGATGCTTCGCAGGGGGTGTTGCTTCCACGAGATGACGACCTTGTTCGGGCCTGGCGAGTCGACCTTCTGCCGAGACTTTCTGTGGATGACGATCCAGGCCGCAACTCTTCCTTGTCTGGTTGACGTGAGTTATGGTTGCATCGCTATGTGATTTGTACTCGTATTTCACACGCGTTCAGAGGCATCGCGATGTACCGTAAATGACACAAGATACCACGCCCCCAGGAACGAATGCCAAAGCTCAATTCCTCCACAGCAGTGCAAATAGTGCCGTTGCCGACACGTGTGGAGTTGGGACCGCGTCGTCGAGATAATTCCAAATACACGTCCTTTGAAGTAGGGTTACTGTTGGTCGTGTCGTCAAGCTTTGTACATTAGACCGGGTGTGGTATCTTACGTCACCCGCTGCTCCGTGTACATAGGACATGATAGTAGACCGCACGCAGTCCGTAGTCGAGACCGCGTGTACGCTGAGCAGGTGGCGTACTGCTGTAGGAGCCTATAGGTTGTGATAGGTGAGGTTGTCAGCGGCGAACTTGAGCGGGCGACATTTTATGGCAATAACCTACACGAACACCCATACCTATGGCCTGACGCCGACCCTCACATGCACCCCCCCCCACACACACACACAAAATGCACGCGCTTGCGACGTCGACATACTAAGCAGGAGATTGCGTGGCCGTCCATGGAAGAGCGTCAGGCACAGGCTGCTTTCCTCGCCGCCACTTTTCACCCTAGGCTTGCCAACGTCGCCTACATTGCGGACGGTACAAAGGGAGCCGCAATGCGCAATCCTACGGAGGTAGGTTGTCAACGTTTATTTCGAGTGTTTTATCTGGGAATGGCTGAGGGCTAGGGTCAGCGGCTGCGGGGTCCGCTATGGCTTTTAATGTTCAAGGAGCGGATTGGTGTCGCTTCCCTTCGATTGCTTAGAGAAACGCAGTTCGAACGGGATGGGCTAGGGCTTGTTGCTCGAGAAAACAGGCGGCAAGGCATGAGCTGGAAGGGCTTAGCTCCATCGTGTAAAGGTCACATTACACGGCATAGGTTAGGCAGCCGAGAACCTCCAAATCACCCTTGGATTTTCGCTCAGTGTGTTTTGGGAAACTCCTCCCCGAATGCAGCAAGTATTTGCGCTTTCGATCGCCACAATGCCGCTACACACGTGCAGGTAGGTACATGACTGCGCTGTGCCTGGTGTGAAGGCGACTTCAGGCCAGATGTTGAAAGGGATACCTGCGGGCCCTTCGTTCGCTATCGGATCTCGCCTAACACACCACCCCCACCCCACGGCGAACATGACACCCCCTCCTACGCAGCCCAAGGATGGTCGCCCGAAGGTTCGCAGGGCAGTGCACGGCCAGCACTACTCCCACAACAAGGGCCTGGGCTATAGCCACATCGTGTATGTCAACGCCCGGGGCAAACCAATACGGGTGAGATATCTCTACGAATGAAACTGAGTGTCGTACCTTCATTTGTAGCGGCATGGCTTTGGCACAAAGGGTTACCTTGGGCATGAACGCGCGGTCGTCTGTTCCACGGGCCAACTGTTGGGCATTAAAATCGAAAGTGTTGGGGTAGGGACTGGGCGCCACTGGCTGTGGCTCATGTTTGCCTATCCGTCCCGGGCTGTCCACCGTGCAAAACATCGCGCACTGCCTCAATGGTGTGTGCGTTGCGCCTCGCTCTCCCTCTTGTTGTCATCCCCCCCGACTCGCTACGAATACGAACGGTGACCAGTACCTCCTCAGTGATTTTTAGCTACGTTATTTCACACAACCAACGAACAGCACACTTCCCCAATAGTACACAACGAACAAGTTGGCAGCTGCTGAACCCTGTGTGCACGCCTGGCTCTGTGTTTGTCAGTGACGGATGTTCCCCGTTTGTCACGGGGGTTCCACGTTGGTCGCTGATCGGTGACCTTCATCTCACGAGCAAACGCAACAGCAGGCGACCCTACTTGTGGGCTGAAGTTGGTCACAGCAGCGTCCTTCGTATGTACCTACCCTACAGTAGTAACTTGAAAAAATCCCGCCTCTGTCCGTGGTCGGTCGAGCGTCCCCACGCTTCGCGTCGTTCCCGACCTAGCTAGCGACTTTCGGGCAATATGGAGGCACCAAGGCTGGGTTTTGTGGGACCCAGTCAAAATGATATTGTAGTGCTCGGGCACAAGTGCTGCCTTGCAGTTCGGTGCGTAGGTGGTGGAACAGGCATCAAGCTTGTTTGTGTGAGCTCAACGCATGCACCAGAGAGCACCGACGCCATATTGTTTTACTACCTTGCGCCAAGCGTTTGCATGTGTAGGTGCGCTAGGGATGAAAGATGGTGAGAAAGTAACTGCCCACCGCGGGTCATGGCCTGGACGGTGCGGCGTTGTCATTTCTTCCTGCCTCATGTCCCCCGTGTTCAACCTTTTCCGCGAACGTATCGATATAGGTGGAAACGGTATCTGGGCGGCTGTCTGACCGAGCTGCCCACACGGCCTCAAGGCTGTTCTTGGAGCCGGATGCGTTCCTGACGTTAGGGGAGACGGGTATGGGCGACGGCAACTATCGCGGGGATGCGAGGATGGACTCAACGGGCCTCGAGATGTGTGTCCCGTTCCAGTTTTCACCCAACTTGACGCATGAGCAAAGGGATTTCAACTCTCAGCAGAGGAGGGTCCGTGTTGTGGTGGAGAATACGATTGGCCAAATCAAGAAGTTCCGAGTCATCGGGGAGGGGAGATTTGGTCACCAGCGGGACTTCGAGCCGCATGTGTTTGAGTTGTGTGCAAGGTTGACGGCGAGGATAATGCGCGTGCGGAACGCCTACCCCCGCAGCGAGGAGTGGTTAGTGAACCAGGTCTCGACATGGGAGTCGAAGCTCGGGGTGTTCTTGTGGATGGACCCCGGCGATGCGGCGTCGTATCTAGTTCACGGTTTGGTTGAGGACGCGGAATACGACACTGACATGACTGCCCAGCAGAAGGCTGAACTGCTGCAGGGCCGGTGGGAAGCAATCTGGGGGGCAGCGTAGCGGATTCCTCGCAGGTTGCAACTTGTCTAGCGTACATGTTTTGAGGTAATTGCCTCTCTGGTTTGAATGTAGCGAAGATTTTATAATTAGAAGCCTATCCCAACCCTGGAAAAGCCTTCCGAGGTGTGCAAGCCCCTATGGGGGCACGCCGGAGAGCAAAACACCATGGTAGCAGTAGGTTTGTTGCGTCAGGGTTTGGCCGTGCCTGACCTACGTCATCAACAGCATTTCATGATTGCGAGGCTTGTATGTGAGTAGCGCTCGGGGTCTCCCTCCACGGACAGTGACGAGCACAAGTCTCTCGTAGCACAGACTCGTCGCACCGCTCGAAGCAAATGTGCAGGCGCGGCGCAGTGCACGCGCCTTGTCCTTGGACGAAAAGATAAAGATGCCAGACGGCTGATATATAGTGATGTGTCTCGATTGACGTCCCGGCATGGGCCTGGACAGTGTACAAACCAACGGGACAACGGAATCGAAAAACACTGCTTTCATCAACCCAGTCTGCGAGCAATACCCCAACAGAACGCGAATTATCCAAGAACTGTTCCAGGACAGCACCCCACCGACAGTTACGCGTACTTCCACGCACAACACGAACAAAAATGATCACTTCCGGCGAAAGGCAAGTCTATCCTCAGATGCACGCGGCGTGCGTGCCTACCCGGGGGACCCCGGTCGCGCAGCCCGACGGACTGCTCCCCCCACCCAGCCGTCTTTCCGAACTAAAAAGGCAAATTCCCTATCGCTGGCTAAGCACCGTGCAGATCCTAACAACGGCGCTTTACATGCAGTAATTACCTAGCAGGACGCCTACAGGTGATAAGTGTCCAGTTCGGCAGCCCTCTCAGCGGTCTTTAGAACTGCAAGAGGGGTAGGGACTATAGAACAAAGAGCGTACAGGCGTTGTTCCTTGACGCCATGCCAATGCACCCAGCGGGTGCGCCAGTCTTCGTAGGTCTCCCCCCCCTGGTCGTTGGCGGAGTCGTTCAGGTGTAAGAATAGGCGCTCAGCCATATCCCCGAAGCAGTAGTCCTCCAGCTCCTCCCACGCACCGTCGAGCATTTCCTGGAGGTTGCTGTTGTACCATGTTTCGAAGGTTTTCGCCCGCACCATTTTCTTCTGTTCCGACGATTCGTCCATCTTGTCAAGAACATAATTTTTCAGTTTATGGTAGGCGCTTTCCGTTCCGAAAGCTTTGTTGCAAACAACCATGTCGTCGTCCTTGGTCTGGCAGCGAGTTAGCTCCCTGTGGCCAGCCTGTCCTGGGGCGATATTGAGGACGCGCGCCCACCAAAGTCCCCCTGGATAACGCTTGGGCGGGGGGGTGTTGTACACGTACACCTTCTCCAGGTCCTGCCGCAGCGTGGTCTCCACAGGCGGCGCTGGTGCACGCGTCCCTCCGAACCCCTGCCAATTCGAACCCAACCTGAGCCAGTGTTCCATCCCCTCGCGTATGGATGGCTGGCGGTTACCCAAGGACGACATGCCTTCTTGACAAATGTTCCCGATGCTTGCTTGGGGTGGTGGGTGGTTGTGTGAGGCAAGTCGTATAAGCAAGCCACGAGGGGGTACGCCGATGAGCTCGAGGGGGGGGGGGATTATTTGGGCAGCTCCGTACGTAATGATTACCGATACCGTTCGTTGGCTTCCCGTCTACCTCGATGAAAAGCGTCACACCCAACCAATCACGCAATATTTTGTGGCGAGCTCTTAATTGTGCTTTGGGATTAATTCTGAGGGGTATGTTGGGGGCTCACGAGTGACGCCAGAAAACCCCCCCCGTCCTCCTGTCCCCTCCCCCTTCTTGGATTTCTTGCAGACTCCGTTTTTGTTTTTTTCGAGGGTTGTCGGCGCCCCCTAACCCCTATGGTTTGTTCGATTTCCGT